ATCTAAACAACTGAGGCTGGGGCTGAGATTCAATCCATGTCTAAGATTGCTGTCTGACCCTGGAAGAAAGGCAAAACTAGTGTTTGGTGACAGTGCAGAGAGGCCGTTTCAATAGGGCTCTTTATATTAAGGTTTGCAAGTTCAGCACTCAAAAGGTCATTTCTTCTTCAGTATTTTGCCCGCAATTAGGGTGGCCAGCATAGGGGAGAAATGTGTTTAGGCTCCCTGCTATAAGAGTAATATGCTTATACAAGATATACCTTTGTAAAAATATCAGTTCAACAGAAAAAAAAAGGTGTTTCAAAAATTAGAACTTCAAAGGAGTTTAAATCACGTTAGATACAACGGAAAGATGTAAAGAAATTGGAGGCACAGAAAAAACAACAATTTTTATAAAAGTGTAGGATTTAGTCTTTATAAGCAAAGATGAAAGAAAATGGCTTATTTAGGCTGGAGAAGAGATGGTAAAGAAAGAACTTAATAAATCTTCAAGTGTATGAAGGGACAATACGTGATCAGTAATAACCAGCTTTTATCTGATTCTTCTGAGGACATGATAAAAGAAAAGAAATTTAAATTGTGCCAAGAAAGCTGTAGAGAAAGTAGTTAGTCCCAGATTCTGTTACCACAAGAAGGACTAGAAGAGTTTTGTATATGGAGATTAAATAAAAAGGCAAGACTATATGAGATAGAGGAGAAGGTACAATTCTACTTAACGTTAGAGTAATAAATATAATAATTATATAAAATAATTACTACTTGTTAAGCAACGACTGTGCTAGATGCTCTCCTAATACTGTGTCATCTCAGTTTATCTTTAAGACCACTCTATGGGTGAGAAAACCAAGCCCAGAAAGCCAAGGTTCTGAATGTTGAGTAACTTGCCCAAAGTAATTTCATTAGTAGGTGATGGCTCTGGAATGTCAAATCTATGTCCTTCTGGCTTCAAAGCCTATGTCCTTTGCACTGAACCATGTTGTTTCTCGGATATATAATATGTCTTTTTGCGGTTTCCTTCCTTTTCTTTTATTAATTGCTCTTCAGTGTACATTTCAAATATCATTTTCCCAAAGAAAATAATCCTAGCCTAATAGTTAGATTATAGTGACCAGCTGGTTATATTAGCAACCATGTGCACATCTTTGCTCACTATAGAGTCTCTTCCTTTAGGGACAGACTCAAACTAATTTGGGACAAAGATGAGAAAGGAGGTGAGGGTATAGAGAGGCGGGGAACAAGAAATCCATCTTTCCTGGCTGAAATTTAATAGCTGTACTATGATACAGGTACATACACACACACACACACACACACACACACACACACACACACACACACACACACACACACACACAGGAGAAAGATCCAGGGCCATACTGAAGCATAAATCAAATTGTTGTTAGCTGCAGTCAAATCAGTCCCCAACTCATGGCGACCCCATGTCAAATTTGGCTGTAACTAAACCCCCATTTACTTATGAGGACTGGTATAAAGAGCATATTAAAAGGAATGAGCATATACTGATAGTCATAACAAGGTCAGTTCTTCAAAAAATAAATGTTATTATAGTGTCCTGAACTGGGATTGGAGGAGAAAAACAACTTGGGGGTCAGGAATGACACTCGGTAATTTCCTTTTGACCATGAACCAATGTATGGTCAAAATCATCTACCATGGTCAGTCAGTAATTTGGGGAGAAAAAAAAAACATGATAATATCCTATTTTAGTAACATCTAATTCAGCCATGACTAACTTTCTGGTATTATTTCCAAAGTAGCATGCATTCATTCAAAGAGCACTTACTCTGTGCCTAGCCCAGTAGGGGAAATAAAGATAAACCAGAAATAGTTTCTGCTTTAAGGAGCGAGTACATTGGTAGGGCTGATAAAACGTGAGGTAAAATAAGATATGAGGTTAGAAAGGACACAAATAACAAAAGACAAAAGGTGACAAGGTGATAAATGGTACTGGAGAAGCACAGGTTCAGTGCTGAGGGGTTCCAGAGAGGAGAGAGGTTTATACCTAGTTTGCAGGATTAAAAAACACTTCATAGAAGAGGTGAAATTTAGGCTGGCCTTTGAAGAATAAGCAGAATTTAAGGGTGGAGAAATTAGGGATGGAGGTGGAAGGCAGAGAAGAAAGAGAAAGTCTTTCCAGCTAGTGTTTATCAAGATGTGATCCAAGGACTACCTGCATAACAGTCCTAGGAGCCTGCATTTGAGCTAGGTCTTGAATGGCTGGCAGGATTTCCACAGGTAGAGATGCAGGGAAATAATTTTCCAGAAAGAGGCAACATTCCCTCTTCTCAACCCTTACTGTACATGCACAGTGGTTAACTAGGTTAACTAGGCAGCCATTTTGTCTCCCTTTCCTCCCAATTTCTTATCATAAAATGCTTGCCATTCATTCACCCCAAACTGTCATCATATGGTTGGAATTAGATGCTCTGACCAATTGGAGACCAAAATTGCTCACTTTTCCACTGGTTTACTCAGGTTTCAGCCCTTTAGTAGGCTCAATTTAAGTACACAAAACACAAATGTAAAACCATAGTTCTAGTCATCTACATGGTCTTAGGAATGGTTTCTCAAAGTTCTGGTCTATGGACCACCTGCAACAGAATGAACTCTGGGGCCTGTTTAAATACAGATTCCTGGGACTCAGACCCAAGGCCACCAAATCAGAATCTCTGGAAGTGTGTTCCAAGGATCTGAATTTCAACAAGTTCTCCAGGTGATTGTGAAGCAAACTGAAGTTTGAAAAACACTGGGATAGAGGTTAGAGGAGACAGCAAACGTGCAAAAATAAAACACAGGAACAATGTGACTGGAACCTGAGGTGCATGAATAGAAGAATATAGTCCTATAAAGGTAAGCTGAGGCTAGACCATGGAAGGCCTTCACTGTCAGAGTCAGGGGATTGATATATATTCTATTGGCAGTAGGGAGTCATCCCTTTGAGTGGCAGAGTGCAGTTGTTAAGAGCCTGAAGTCGGGAACCAGACTGCTTGGATTCAAATCTTAGCTGATCTACTCAAAAGCTACATGACCTTGAACAAGGTTCTTAACTTCTCTCTGCCTCAGTTTCCTCATCCATAAAATGGGGATAATAATAGTACTTATCACATAGGATTGTCATGGGATTAAATGAGTTTATATTTGTAAAGTGTTTAAAATTGTGACTGGAATATAGTAAGTAAAATAAGTGTTAGCATAAAAACTTTTGAGCAGGGTTTTAGCATAGTTAAGGCTATCTTTTTGGAAGGTTATGCTGGAATAATGTATAGGAATCACCTATCCCCCATTCCCAGCAAATCTCATAAGTTTTTCCTCTAACTCAGTGGTTCTCAAACTTGGATGCACATTGGAATCACCTCCCACTCCGGGCCTGGGTATAAATCTGCCAAGGTGATTCCATATGCACCCATGGTTGAGAACCAATGCTCTAAATATATTTCAAATTTGTCCATTTTTCTTTATTGAGTCTCACTATGCAAGACACTGTGCTAAATCCTTTCCCTGCATTATCTCATTTAAACTTCACAGCCATCTTTGAAGTTGGTGCTGACATTATCCTCATTTTACAGATTTACTTGAAAGGTCAAGTAAGTTGCTATAGTCATCCAGCTAGAAAGAAGCAGGGCTGGGATTGGAACTGAGACAGTCTGGCTCCAGAGGCTCCACTCTTGACCACCACGTTCTCAAACCAAGCACTCGTCCTCTCTCACTTCCCAGGTTACTACATTAACCTTCTTCCTAGTCTCTCCACTTGCATTACTGCTTCCCTCTAACATAGTTTGGACACAATAGCCAGTGAGATCTTTTGAGACATAAATGGCATTATATGATGCTCACAGTCTTTCAATGGCTTCCCATTGCATTTAAAAAGTGAAACCCAAACTCCTTCCCATGGCCTACAAGGCCCTGCAAGACAGGACTTTTAATCACTTCTCTAGCCTCAGCTCCTGCCAGTTTGGACCATGATCACTACATTCCAGCCACATTAGTTATTTGGCTCCTTGAACGCTCTAAGCTCTTCCCTGCTTGGGGCCTTTGAACTTTTTTCCTCTGCCTGGAATGCTCTTCCCTAAAGCTCCTTGCATGGATGGTTCCCTCTCATCTTTCAGGTCCAAGCTTAAATATTACCTTCTCAGAGAAGCCTTTCCTGACAACTCAACCTAAATGCCTTCACCTCTAATTCTCTATTTCAGTCATTTGTTTCTTTCCTTCATCGAACTTACATTGTTTATATTTAGAGATTTGTTTACTTATTTATTATTTGTCTCTTCTGGAAGAATGTGAATGCCATAAGAGCGAAGAACGTATCTTTGCTGCTATGTATGCCACATATGGTTGTGTAGGTTGTGCACTGCACAAGGATTCCACAGCTAAGAAGGTACTATTCACAGTAAAGCAGTAAAGCATCTTAATTGTATTAAGTAAAGGGGGGGATTTCTAATTCACATAAAGAAACCATATGGTCTATGGTATATTATATGTATGTTTATTCTATTCACAAGTATATACCCAGCTTCTAGCATATGTTGCTTGAACGGAAGTATAAAAGGAAGGCAAAATTCGATCGTGTCAGTGGGAAAGGGTGAGGACAGAGGGATAACAGAGACTGCTGACAGATGTGTTAACTTGAGCAGATGCAACGAAGGAGGAATTAAAGGTGACAATGTTTGATACTAGGAATCTGGAGGAAAAATGGCCTGATTATTTGAAAAAAAAAAAAAGGAATCCAAGAAGAAAAATATGATGATGATTCAATTTGTATCTAATTTGGGAAGATAATGCCTTCCATTTTGTTTTTATTGAGTTTGTCTCCATTTTACTGTGAATTTTAAAAACATACTTAAGTTTGACCTGCACAATCTTCAATCTTCAAAAGGACACATCAATGCTTTGCAAGGCCCATTCTTCCTTTGTGTTTTACTGTACAATAACTTAGGGACCAAGCTAGAAGGCATTAAGAAAGGAGAGATAAAGATACTCACTTTAACCTTACAGGACTCCTCCCTCCCCTCCCCCCTGGCACGCTCCAGCCCAATTTCTTTCAGGCTCTGGCTCTTAAAATCAGTGCTATTCTTTTTGTGAGTGAAAGCATCTCTAAAATCTAAGGCTACCATTAAAAACTTCCCTTTCTGCAGGACACTGTGCAGGCAATTTCCTCTCTTCTAACTCCTGCTATTCAAGATGGCATCACCCCAGGTCTCTGGGATGTGGGATACCTACCTCTGCACACCCTGCAGCAGGAATCCGGAACAGAGACTGGGAGTGCACAGGTTAATTTTGGACAAGTCTTGAGACCACAGTATACATTTCCCTCCTGCCAAGGAGAAACAGAATTAAGATCAGAAGAATCTGGGATACATGTAAAAGCTTACTCAGTAGGTGGGATACAGTAGGGGATGAAAATATGGCATATACTTCCCCACTGCTCTCCCATAGTCAGTTCTAGGTACTTCCTAAATTCTATTTTGCATTGATTTTTTTCTATTTACTATTTCTCCATGCCAGAGACTAGGCCACAAAGAGTTGGCAATAATCCCATCCTATTTGGACATTCTGGCTTAAGGTGGTACAAAATACTCAGTGTGAGGGCTTCCATGGGGCCTCCAAACCACCAAATACATTCTTGCTCTTCTCTTCTCTGTTCACTGTATCACTTGGTCCCCAATGTGCTCCAGCTAGAACGTTGGAGATTTAAGAGAATGAGGATTTGTGTGACAGCTGCAATTTGTAACATTCCCTAGAGTCTCCTTTCCAAACCAAAGAGACAAGCTCTCTGGAGCAATACAAGACTATCTGAATTCCACAGCTCAGTCCAGCAAAAGGCAAGGGAGAGGATCAAATTTACTTGCTGGTTATGTCTGTATTTGCATAATCTTCATTCCCTAAAATTCTATGCTCCAAATGTTGTTCCTTAAAACTTGTTCTTTATTCTTAGAAGCACATTCTTCTGGGGCCAGAAGGGTTCCTGAAAGGTCATTAGGAAGGCACGGTCACAATCAAATTCTCCCAAACTACTGAGATACTATATTCTTACTAAAAAACTCACAAGGGAAGAGACTGTATAACTTACCTTGGCAATCCGGTGTTTAATGTCCCCTGTTGTTGTTGTTGCCGTCGAGTCCCTTCTGACTCATGGCAGCCCCATGTGTGCAGAGTAGAATGCTCCATAGTTTTCAAGGCTGTGACCTTTTGGAAGCAGATCGCCAGGCCTTACTTCCGAGGTGCCTCTGGGTGGGTTAACCACGAACTTTTACAGTTAGTAGTCCAGTGCTTAACCATTTTTACCACTCAGGGATTCCTTAATGTCCCTTACAGACAGAAAAGTTGTTTTTTACATCTATCTTCATTCTTTCATGCTTCAGTTTAAAGACCCATTGTCCCTCATTTTCTACTTTCATCTGTTATATTCTCTGTACTACACAATCAGATAAAGATATAATTGGTATACTTTACTCTGGAAATACATGCAGTTTTTTTGATAAGTAATGTCATAGGAATCATCATAGTCAAGCATTTACCAAGAGTTGTCTCATTGCAGGACATCATGAATGAACTGATTAGTAGTAGTAGACTTCAGATATGGGAAGCAGCAGGCTCCCTCTTTTCTTGTGAATTGAATTGAGTGACCCTACATGGTGACAGTGGGCTTTTCCACCCATAGTGTTCCCAAGGCTTCAAGTAATTGAGTCCTTCAGATGAAGGCTTTGGTGGTGTAACTATTGTGAAAAGAGGTGCAGATCAAGCACCAGCTCATCTTTACTCATTCAAGCAGTTCTAAAGCTTAAAGTCTGAGATATGTTCTGACCCCTTCACAGACTTGTTCAGGGTGGATGAAGATTAGGGAGTCTGGATTGGCAGGGAAGATTACAATTTAGCTTCCAAATCATACTACAGTGTAGGCTCAAACTAAAGGCACAAGGACAGAGGAAGCTCTCTTATTAGGGTAGGGGCTAGCAGAAACATTAAAATGTAGGGTCTTACCGAACAGCTGCACTGGGTACACTGATTGGGTTGCCGGTTCTGAAAGAGCCCTTCGGCCATGAACAGCTCACCATGTTGGTAAGTGGTCCCATTGTACTCACATGACTTGCTGGTCACTTTATTGTTTGCTGGAGGTAAGGAGTCTTCTGGGACAGGGTGGAGAAAAACCACACCGAGTATTGGCATCATTACAAAGAATTTCGTAAATCCCAACAGCAGATGGGGCTGTACTATATACCAAAAACCAAACCAAACCCATTGCCGTCGAGTCGATTCCGACTCACAGCAACCCTACAGGACAGAGAAGAACTGCCCCATAGAGTTTCCAAGGAGTGGCTGGTGGATTCGAACTGCCAACTTTTTGGTTAGCAGCTGAGTTCTTAACCCCTGCACCACCAGGGCTCCAACATAGAGGGAGTTAAAAAACAATCCCTGCCCCAGTGGCTTATGATTTTAGATAATATTAAAGCAGGCAGGTGAGAATAGAAGATGACATAATCATTCATCCATTCTTTCATTTACTGTGCATTTATTAAGCACCTACTATGTGTAAGGCACTGTTGTAAGCCAGTGAGAGAGAGAGAACAGCGAACAAGGACAAGGTCTTGATGGAGGTTAACAGTCCTAGATGAATAAGATATTAACTTCCCTGAAAGAAAAGAGTTTACTGTACCTCTATTTATTCTTTCCTTTCAGAAGAGGAACAATTTATTACAACCACGCTAGTAACTTTATCCCCTTCCATGTTTCCCATCACTTGGTGTGTGCTTGTATACTTGTTCTAGCCTCTGCAGCCTTTGCTTATTTTTTCTCCCTCCATAAGATTGTCTCCCCACCCTCCACTGCTCTTTTATACCTATTGAAATCCTATCTGATTTTGAAAGACCAGTTCAAGTCCCATTCCCTCCAGGAAGCATTCCCTAATAGCTCCAGCCCACAATTTGGACGTCTCAGCATATGAGGTATGCAGCTCACAATTTGGCACTTCAGTATTCTTATAACTCATATTTGTGAATTATAGTAACCTAGCAAACAATTTACAAAGAGCTTTAACATACCTTATCACAATGAAGCCTCATAACAACCCTGGGAATCAAGTAAGACAGATTCTTTTTTTTTTTTTTTTTTTGCTGCTATTCTCACTTTATTTTTTTTATTGATGTAATTGAATGAAGTTTACATTTCAAGTTAGTCTCCCATACAGAATTTTTTTTTAACATACATTGTTATGAGATCCCAACCGCTCACCCCATTCTGTGACAGACAGCACACTCCTCCCCTCCGCCCCTGATTCCCCATCAACATTCAACCAGCTCCTAACTCTCTCTGGCTTCCCCTCTAACCTCTGGACAGAAGCCGCCCCTTTGGTCTCTTGTATCTACTTGACTAAGAGGCACATTCTTCACGAGTATCACTTTATGTCCCACAGTCCAGTCCAATCCCTGTCTGAAGAGTTGGCCTCGGAAATTGTTTTACTTTTGGGGGGATGGAGAAACCGGGGGCCATGCCTTCTGGGGTGCCTCCAGTCTTAGACCATTAAGTCTGGGTAAGACAGATTCTTATCCTCGTTTTTCAATTGAGGGAAAAAAGTCTCTGAGGTTGAGTGACTTATCTGAGCTCACAAAGCTAGTGAGTGGTGAAAGACAATCGAAACTTTGTCTCCTGGCCCTAAATCTCATCTTCTTTCTATCAAACTATGTTACTTCTTGAGGACTTGGGCATCTGTCTTTATATCACTCTTTTCTCCATGGAGTCTAGCACAGTGTAGCCATGTTCTAACATCAATACACTTGTTAAGCTGACACTAACTGAATGGTCTCTAGAAAACTTTTCACTGGACTTCTTTATAGCACATGCTGTACACACACACACACCCCTAGAACAAAAATGAACAAGTCCCAGATTAAACTAATCAATCATTGATATATGAGGTGGGGGGCCATGATGGCAGAGTAGTCAGACGTTTCTGGTGGACCCTCTTACAACAAAGACCCGAAAAAACAAGTGATTAGATTATATATGGCAATCTGGGAGCCTTGAACATCAAAGGCAGAGTTGAGGAACCAGACTGAGTGGCAGACAGAGGGAGAGATGGTTCGGAAGCAGCGAGGAGTTGCCAGACCTGACCCAGTGAGAGACTGAGCCCTTCAGGCCGGATCAGCTCGGGAGTGAGTGGTGAGGCAGGCAAGCAGCCATGCTCGGGAGACACGTTTTCCACACCGGGAGACAGCCAGCACCAGAGACTCTACACGGCTACCCAGAACCAGTGAGAAGCAGCCTTCCAAGAAAGATAAGTATTTGTGTACAGTTTACCATGTGGATCAAAAACAACCCCCTTAGGGAAAAACCTCTCTCCCATTTACCTCCCTGCTCCCTGCTCTGTACTGGGTCCTGGACTGGCTTCAGCAATTGCCAAGTCCCCTGGGCCAGAAGTAGGATCCGTCACACACCCAGAGCCATTCTCCCTGCCTTAGAGAGAGAAAAAACTAACAAACGGGAAAAAATAAACTGTCGGCTCCCCTAAGCCAGGAACCCAGGGTAGGCACAGCTCCTTTGCCTAAGCACAGGCATAAGGGATCCACAGACTTTGAGTGCCTTTCCCCCTGCATAGACTTGTGTGCGCCCATCTCAACAGCATAGGCCCTCATTACTGCAATACAACAGGGTATATACCGGAACTCTAACTTGAACTGTTTCAGCTGTGAAGTGGCAGGTTCTTGATATTTAACACTGCTCTGCCCATTAAGCAGGGTCTTCACCTACCCACATCAGAGACCTGAGGACTGGTGGCTCCACCCATGCCACCTAGCCACCTGCGATAGGGGCCCATGAATAAGAGGTGCCCCCCAGTCCTCACAGCCAATAGCATTAGGCGCTCATAGTCCAGCTGCAAAACCCACCCACTTACGTGCTCTAGGGAACAGTGACACGCCTTCCTCCTGGACACTTGGCAGCGGCCGTCAGCCCGCTGCCTTGCTCAGAGTGTGTCCCCCATGCTGCGGCCAGATGCCTGTGCCTACACCAATCACCCACGCCTGTCTAGGACTGTAAGTGAGAGCCTACACCACACACTTGGTGGCTATCTACCTGGGCACTTGAGCTGAATCCATACAGGAGGAGTGGGCAGACTCCTGAGCTCACATACCTAGTAACAGATCTAACCACCTGGTGCTGGGACATTAGAGCTTCAAAGGTGCCAATAATCAAACTAGCTCAT